CAAATTGATGATGCCTACGCAACATCAATTTGTGTGCTAGAAACCACTGACGATTAGATGAGACAACCTTAGTCATTAACTCTGTTGTCTGATCTTCGGAAGTAATACACGCCAACTCTATCGAGCCTTTTGTGACCTACTGTCGAATGTAGTGAACATGTACTTCGATGTGCTTTGTATGGTCATGTAGAACATGATTAGTGGCAATCCGAATAACACTGGTGTTGTCAACATGAAGGCAAATTGGTGTTGTAGCTTGAACTCCTAATTTGGCAAATAGCCGACACAACCAGGTAATTTCAGATGCCACCTCTCTCATAGAAAGATATTATGCTTCAGTCGATGACTTAGAGACCCGATCCTCCTTCTTGCAGCACCAAGAAATAAAAAAACTACCCACTTTCACACACCATCCGAACGTCGAACGACGTGTGTCAAGGCAACCAGTATAATCAGCATCTGCATATGCCTCAATCACCGAATCCCCTTCTGCTAGAAATAAAAGGCTGACATCCTGGCTACCTAAGAGATAATGAAGAATACGCTGAACTGCAAACCAGTGAGTTGTTCTAGGAGCGGACATAAACTGACTCACCACCTGCACAACATAAGATACATCTGATCGCGTATGAGTCAGATATATCAAACTACCCACTATTCTGCGATGTAGGGAGCCATTAGACAACAAGTCACCATTTGCCTGTCTCAACTTCAGTTTTGCTCCATCGGAGTAGCACAAGGAATACACTCGTCCATTTGAGCTTCTTCAAGTAAGTCCATCACATATTTCTGTAGCCCTACATGAATACCTGCAGATGAATGATGAATCTACAATCCTAGGAAATATGAAAGATCACCCAGTTCCTTAAGATTAAACGCAGACCGCAGGGTTTAAGTTATTTCCCAGATTCCATCTTCATCATCCCCACTGACTACCATGTCATTGACGTAAATTAACAAGACATTCAACCCCTTTGTCGTGTTTTGCAAGAAGAGAGACGAGTCATTATCACTGTGCACAAAACAAGCCTATAGCACTGTTTCCTGAAACTTGTCAAACCACGGTCGTGGCACCTATTTAAACAATATAACGAACGAAGAAGACAACATACCATAGTTTTATAACCCTTCATGTAGCCTGGTGGAAGTTCCATGTATATATATTTCTTCACGTCAAGCTGAAATAACGACCACTTCTTCATGGCAGTTAGGGCTGGAAGTTTGGTACCGGTATTTGGGATATACCGAATACCATACTGAATTTGTCTATATTTGGTATTACGGAAGACACGTATTATTTCTCGGGATTGGGATTGGGATTGAATTTCAATTTTAATTCGGTATTAGGGATTACGAGATTGGGATAGGTATATACCGAAATTGTTGATGTCAAGCTAAAGTAGCCGACCTCAAACGTTGCAGAGTCTGGAGAGCGTTGACCTTTTGGTTTCCATTGAATTCCAACACTTAAGATGAATACCTAAAAAAAAGGGTCCGCCGGTTGTGGTCGGCTAGGACCTTCTCCAAAGCTCAAATCAATATTTGGAAATAACTGGGAGTGACATATGGAGCCATCTCTAGGGAGAAAGAAAGAGAAATTTTGGGGTTGGAAGTTGCCAATTCGCAGAGAAGAAGTTCGTCGGGAATTCTCCTTTTCCGATCACGTTAAGAGAAAGTGATTTCTCTAGATTTAAGATGGATTGCCGAGAGAACATAAATGAACGGCCTATTTATAGGCACTTCCTGCTCCTGGCATGGGTGGCGTTCCTTTATTAATTGAAAAGGTTAAAGAAGAAACCACCTTGATGCGTGCACACCTGTATCATAATCATATTTACCGTACCTGTAGAACCAATGAAAGGTGATGGGTGGCTTGACTTAAATGGAAGGTGTACGATGTAAGAATAGTTGGTAGGGTTGGTGGTTTGGGAAAATTAAGTTTTAGTGTCCAAATAACAGCTATGGGGTCAGTAAATTGAACATAATGAGATGGGATGATGAAGTTAATACCTCATGCATTTACGATACTTTGCTTTGCATGCATGTGATGGCATACCTTCTCCATTTCTCCATGGGTATTCATAGAAGGACAGTAACATAACTAATTGAGTGAAATAATTGGTTGATGGAACACGTTCCTTCTTGCTACGTGCATGTAATGGGTAAAGCTGTCAAGTGGGGGTTAATTAGAGGGGACTAGGCTTATGAATAGGTTAGCCTATATTCACGTGTAATCAAAGTGAAGTTGGGGTTTTTATTTGTGGGTAAAGGTTTCCATTCACCCAAGTTAACAAAGATGGCTTGCTTTTCTGTTTCATGTAAATGAGACAGGTGGAGGGTTATTTTAACTATTACCATCCATCAACTAATTATTCTTAAACAATTCTTACACATGGAAGAAGATGGGTGGTGAAATGTTAACTTATACTCTCTTCATTTGGTTGGAGGGAAGCAAATGAGAATTGTCATCCACGTAGCTTCACTGTGGATTCTGGAGATATACTAGTTGATGGATAGAGGCCATTTCTCCTGTTGATCCACGTGTGTTTAAGAGAAGATACATGCTTTATAGACTAGTTTCGGCTTGATGGGTCATTTTTAATGGAAGAGAAGGAACCCCTCCGCGTGGAATTGAGGTAGCAGAATACCCACCTTTCTTCATTTCTTTCCCAGGTAAAAAATGGTTGGATGGGTGGTGATCACTAGTTACTAGAGTGGGATTGATGGGTGATTAGCTTAATGGGGCTCATCAGAAATACCGATCAATACCAAAATATAAAATAGTGTGTATTTTATCCTCTCAAATAGACTCTCTCATTGACTAGTACACAACCCTCAAACATCAAGGGTGTCATTTAATTATACATAGATAATTTCTTATTTGTTTCACAACTCAAAAGTCCATATCCAATTCAATTTTGTCTTTTCAATTTAAGTCACTCTCATCTCTCACCTAATAACTTGTTAATTTCATAACACCAAAAAGCAAACACTAGTATTACTCGACTCTCAGCCTTCAATTCGTAAAATCAAAGATTGCCAATGACAAGAACTGTTACCTCTCCTTCATTCTCCTTATCTATATCCTAGCTCTAGGAAAACTCAAGACACTTTTCTTAGTCTCTTTTTCCTAAATTAAACAATCAAATCTAATTTATATATTTAATTCTTTATTTAAAATATAATTAATCCTTTTCAATTAATAAAGGAACGCCACCCATGCCAATTCGTAGAGAAGAAGTTCGTCAGGAATTCTCCTTTTCCGATCACGTTCAGAGAAAGTGATTTCTCTAGATTTAAGATGGATTGCCGAGAGAACATAAATGAACGGCCTATTTATAGGCACTTCCTGCTCCTGGCATGGATGGCGTTCCTTTATTAATTGAAAAGGTTAAAGAAGAAACCACCTTGATGCGTGCACACCTGTATTATCATCATATCTACCGTACGTGTAGAACCAATGAAAGGTGATGGGTGGCTTGACTTAGATAGAAGGTGTACGATGTAACAATAGTTGATAGGGTTGGTGGTTTGAGAAAATTAAGTTTTAATGTCCAAATAACAGCTATGGGGTCAGTAAATTAAACATAATGAGATGGGTTGATGGAGTTAATACCTCATGCATTTACGATACTTTTCTTTGCATGCATGTGATGGCATACCTTCTCCATTTCTCAATGGGTATTCATAGAAGGAAAGTAACATAACTAATTGAGTGAAATAATTGGTTGATGGAATACATTCCTTCTTGCTACGTGCATGTAATGGGTAAAGCTGTCAAGTGGGGGGTTAATTAGAGAGGACTAGGCTTATTACTAGGTTAGCCTATACTCACGTGTAATCAAAGTGAAGTTGGGGTTTTTATTTGTGGGTAAAGGTTTCCATTCACCCAATTTAACAAAGATGGCTTGCTTTTTGTTTTAACTATTACCATCCATCAACTAATTACTCAAACAATTCTTACACATGGAAAAAGACGGGTGGTGAAATGTTAACCTATACTCTCTTCATTTGGTTGGAGGGAAGCAAATGAGAATTTCCATCCACGTAGCTTCACTGTGGGTTTCTAGAGATATACCAGTTGATGGATAGAGGCCATTTCTCCTGTTGATCCACATGTGTTTAAGAGAAAATACATGCTTTATAGACTAGTTTAGGCTTGATGGGTCATTTTTAATGGAAGAGAAGGAACCCCTCCACGTGAAATTGAGGTAGTAGAATACCAACCTTTCTTCATTTTTTGTCCAGGTAAAAATGGTTGGATGGGTGGTGATCACTAGTTACTAGAGTGGGATGGATGGGGGGTTAGCTTAATGGGGCTCATCAATTGCCCCCTACTAATAGGGTGATAAGAGATCCATGTTAGTAACCAAACTCTATAAATAAACAGTTGTTGATTTGCCCATTTTAGCTACCCATCCTTCCCTCGATTGAGAAGAAGCCTAGGCCACGCTTTCATATCACTTCCCCGTCAGCCTGCCATTAATCAATCCATACACTTTCTGCTGGTTCTTGAGGTCCTTTATTCCCCTCCACAACTCCATATCTGCCACTACAGAACCAAGGTAATTCTTTCCTCCCACACATCATTTTAATTGTTACTTTATTTGATGCATGCATGTTACACTTGGGTTACTCACGTAGGCAGTGGCGGAGGGAGGTAAGGAGGAGAGGGGTCCTAGGACCCCACTTGGCAAACAATTGGCAACAAAACCCTTTAAATATATAGGTTTTAGTACGATAATTCAAGTTTAGGACCCCATACTCTCAACGATGTTAGCTCACCAAGGACCCCGGTTAACTCAAAATTCATTAAATACATAAGCATTAGTGTTAGTAAATTTTAAAGGACCCCAGTACACTCAATATCTGGCTACGCCACTGCACGTAGGTTTGTTTTTTAATATACTTTCAACATATCAATAATATACAATGTTATTTTTGGTGGTAGGAGGATGTCAAGAGAGCAACAATCAAGTTCTAGGGCGAGCTATCTCTTCTCAAGTGTCGACGGTAATGACATGTCTATCGTTGAGGGAGAATGCACAAAATTGCTTAGATTGATCCCTTCGGACACAGCCTACTCCAGACAGAGTAGGGAACTTCAATTTGAGATGAAATGTAGAAGGGACGGCCCGAGCTTTGTGTAGAAACGGTCTTCCAAGAATTCCATTGTATGCAGAGGAACAGTTAACCACATGAAAGTTAACCAGCGTCTCGGTTGTTTGGTCGCCATTGCCGATGCGTACGTGAAGAGGTAGAATTCCAAGTACTGGGACTTGGTTGCTAGAGAAACCCAAAAGACAGATGTTGTAAGGTTGACAATGATCCAAGCGAAGACCCAACGAGCAAAAAGAAGGGTAAAAAAGTAATTCGGCTGAGCTCGCTCCATCAACGAGAACTCGTTTCACGGTGTAATTGGCGATTGTAGCCTCAATTACTAGAGGGTCATCATGGGCTATTCGATACCTCGAGGTCCCGAGAATCAAAAAATATGGGATCCTGATCAGAGATAATTGAGGTGGATCTAACCAAAGCTCGGGCGTAGGACTTACGGGAGGTGGAACATTCCCGTCGTAGTCCAGTTCCTCCATGTATGACTGGGACGACACCTTACACCGGTCCACTTCCCTGTGGAGTTTTTCCTTTGTCCGATGATGAAGGTTGTTGGATTGAGCCTTTGGAGATTTGGATGAACTGCTTAAGTTGTCCATTTTGAATAAGTCCCTCGATGGATCTTCCTAAGTTTTCGCATTCCTCACTGTTATGTCCGTATCCCCGATGAAAGTCACAAAATTGGTTCTTTCCTGTTCTTGGTTTTATGCGATCTCGAGGTGGCCATGTCACAGGAAGCTTTTTATCTTGAATGACCTGGAGAACAGTCCTCCGTGGATTGTTGAGTGGGGTAAAATTTTTGCCTAAATGGAATGGTCCATCCCTTCTACGGTAATCTTTTTGAGCCTTGGGCATGTTATCCAAAGTTGGGCGGGGGCGTTGTAAAGTTTCTCGGTTCGGCGGAGGCCAATCCCTTCTATGCTTTGGCACAACATAGGACTTGTAAAGCTTCTTCTAGACTGATGTACTTCATGACCCGCTCTTGTAGCTCAAACATACAACGAGGAGGTTTCTTGATGAGGGAAGCCCGGAGAAGACTGCTTGTTGTTCCTCGTGTCAGCGCGTTGACAATTTCTTCAATAGAGAGGGAAGTGACGCCTATAACAAAGGTTTTGTACCTAGCATATTAGGATTTTAAAGCCTCACCCTCTCGTTACTTGGTATTCATGAGCTGATTAATGCTACGTGCCTGTCGCTTTTGGGAGTAAAACTTGCACCGAAATAGTGTGGAAAATTCGGTGAAGTTGTTGATGATACCATTGCAAAGCTTAGAGTACCATCGACGAGCGTCTCCTCCAAGAGTGGCGGGAAATATTTTACACATGGTGGCATCAGAGTCACCAATAAGCTGCATCAAAATCTCAAAGGAACTGAGATGATCTTCTAGGTCGGTGGTGCCATTATACTCCGGAAGGTTGGGTATATGGATGTTTCCCGGGTATGGCTCATTTAAAATGGCCAAAGCCAGAGAGTGACCGGTACTTGGTTGAGAAAAAGTCCCCGCGGGAGAAAGTTCTTCGAAGTGAGGAACAACCGGGGGGACATCCCGGACCGCTGCTTCAGTTGCTGCCGGTATGCCATTCCCATGGTAGTTGGAGGATCCAGGGAGTCCCGTACTCCCGTAGAAAGTTGGTAGAGGAATTGGTGGTGGTTGGGAAGCCTCTGCTGCGGGCCAAAGTTGGGCACGAACTCACTCAATTTCGGCTTGGAGGTCCTCGATCCTTTGAGGCGGCATAGTTTACTCAACGGTTGGAGTTGAACCTTGGCCGATCTCAACTTGCTGTTGCGAATCCGTTGTATCCATCTCAGTGGTTGGATTGGGAACCTGTAGGTAGTAATCTCACCGGGTCCCATGGTGGGGGCCAATTGTTGATGCCAAGCTAAAATAGCCGACCTCAATCGTTGTAGAGTCCGGAGAGCATTGACCTTTTGGTTGCCGTTGAATTCCAGTTCTCGAGATGAACACCTGCAACAAAGGGCTCGCCGGTTGTGGTCGGTTGGGACCTTCTCCAAAGCTCAAATCAGTATTTGGAAATAACCGGGAGCGGTATATGGAGCCATCTCTAGGGAGAAAGAAAGAGAAATTTAGGGGTTGGAAGTTGCCAATTCGCAGAGAAGAAGTTCGTCGGGAATTCCCCTTTTCCGATCTCGTTCAGAGAAACTGAGTTCTCTAGATTTAAGATGGATTTCCAAGAGAACATAAATGAACGACCTATTTGTAGGCACTTCCTGCTCCTGGCATGGGTGGCGTGTCCTTTATTAATTGAAAAGGTTAAAGAAGAAACCACCTTGATGCGTGCACACCTGTATTATCATCATATCTACCGTACGTGTAGAACCAATGAAAGGTGATGGGTGGCTTGACTTAGATAGAAGGTGTACGATGTAACAATAGTTGATAGGGTTGGTGGTTTGAGAAAATTAAGTTTTAATGTCCATATAACAGCTATGGGGTCAGTAAATTAAACATAATGAGATGGGTTGATGGAGTTAATACCTCATGCATTTACGATACTTTGCTTTGCATGCATGTGATGGCATACCTTCTCCATTTCTCCATGGGTATTCATAGAAGGACAGTAACATAACTAATTGAGTGAAATAATTGGTTGATGGAACACGTTCCTTCTTGCTACGTGCATGTAATGGGTAAAGCTGTCAAGTGGGGGTTAATTAGAGGGGACTAGGCTTATGAATAGGTTAGCCTATATCCACGTGTAATCAAAGTGAAGTTGGGGTTTTTATTTGTGGGTAAAGGTTTCCATTCACCCAAGTTAACAAAGATGGCTTGCTTTTCTGTTTCATGTAAATGAGACAGGTGGAGGGTTATTTTAACTATTACCATCCATCAACTAATTATTCTTAAACAATTCTTACACATGGAAAAAGATGGGTGGTGAAATGTTAACTTATACTCTCTTCATTTGGTTGGAGGGAAGCAAATAAGAATTGTCATCCACGTAGCTTCACTGTCGATTCTGGAGATATACTAGTTGATGGATAGAGGCCATTTATCCTGTTGATCCACGTGTGTTTAAGAGAAGATACATGCTTTATAGACTAGTTTAGGCTTGATGGGTCATTTTTAATGGAAGAGAAGGAACCCCTCCGCGTGGAATTGAGGTAGCAGAATACCCACCTTTCTTCATTTCTTTCCCAGGTAAAAAATGGTTGGATGGGTGGTGATCACTAGTTACTAGAGTGGGATTGATGGGTGATTAGCTTAATGGGGCTCATCAGAAATACCGATCAATACCGAAGTATAAAATAGTGTGTATTTTATCCTCTCAAATAGACTCTCTCATTGACTAGTACACAACCCTCAACCATCAAGGGTGTCATTTAATTATACATAGATAATTTCTTATTTGTTTCACAACTCAAAAGTCCATATCCAATTCAATTTTGTCTTTTCAATTTAAGTCACTCTCATCTCTCACCTAATAACTTGTTAATTTCATAACACCAAAAAGCAAACACTAGTATTACTCGACTCTCAGCCTTCAATTCGTAAAATCAAAGATTGCCAATGACAAGAACTGTTACCTCTCCTTCATTCTCCTTATCTATATCCTAGCTCTAGGAAAACTCAAAACACTTTTCTTAGTCTCTTTTTCCTAAATTAAACAATCAAATCTAATTTATATATTTAATTCTTTATTTCAAATATAATTAATTTCGTATTCGATAATACCGATTCGGATACCGAAGTACCAATTGGGATACCATAATATTTAGGGATTGAGATTGAGATACATAAATTATTCAGGGATTGGGATTGGGATTGACATTCAGGTATAATTCGGTATTCGAGATTTCGATATTTGAGATACCGATACCGTACCAATTTCCACCCCTAATGGCGGCCACAACTAACAAACTGCAGACTGTTTGCATCTTTGAACCGGAGCAAATGTTTCCGCACTATCAATACCATATTCCTGCTAAACCCCTGTGCCAACAAGCGAGCCTTGAACCGTTCAACTGTACCATCCAGATTCATTTTCACTATAAACACCCATCTACAACCGTTAAAACAAAACTTAGGTAATCGTGTAACCAAATCCCACGTATGTGCTGCCTCGAGAGCATCCGTTTTCACTAATATGGTGTTATCCCATTCATCCCTTCCTTTAGCTTGTTTCAACGAAATTTGAGTGATGAGTAGGAGGTTTACCTTTATTCACCCTAGTGGAGTGACGCAGCTGGGGACAAACATTAGGGTCAAGTGGAGACTGAAGGGATGTAGCGGAGGAGGTGGATGATGATGATGAGCTAGTGGAGTGTTCAAAATGATTATGGGGGCTGGAGTTCTGGTGGAACGAGCCAGAACCACCCCTGGGGATGATGGGGATGGAGCTGGGCGAGGATGAACCTGTAGAGAAAGACTCACTCGAGGCGGTAGCAACTGATGAGTCCGAGTGATGAGGCTCACCAACATCATTGGACGAAGGAGCATCAAAGGAACTCAAAAAGTCCAAGTCTAGAGGATCGGCAGGTGCGGAACCACATGACACGACACACATACTCTGACTTACATACATATACTTTGTGCTTCTCAGTATAGACTAAGAAAACACATTAGACAGCTTTGGGAGTCATCTTTGTTCTCTCTCAAACGAGCTAAAAGAACATAGCAAGCACACCCAAACACACGCAACCAACAATTGTCCGAAACACGAGATCATAACAAAAGATTCTTGTGCTACGGTAAAAAACTCTGACTTGACTTCTGACGTAGAAAGTAGACCCATGTAAAACGTGTCACATGATCCACAAACAAGGCAAAGTAGCAAAACCTAAGTCTAGAAGTCACCGGTAATGGACCCCATGGATCAGTATGCACAAGATCAAATGGTTCAGAATAAATAGTAGTACTCGGAGTAAATTAAGCCGGTGTCATTTTACCTTGCAAACAATGAACACATTCATGACTTTGATCAATCAAAATTGTACCAGACAACCACTTATTCTAAAACATAGTACAAAGTAGGGATGGCAATGAGTCGAGTCGGGGGCGGATAGTTCATATCCGTTATTCTACCCAAAGTAGTTCGGGTTTTACCGATACCCATACCCACATATGAAACGGGTACAAAATCAAAACCATGCCCATACCCGTTCGGGTTTTGGGTATCCACAGTTATCCATGGGTAATAATTTCTCTTCATAAATCCAAACAATATGTTAACATTCACACGTATCCTTACACTACGTAAGAGGAAAAGTACGACAATAATTCACCAGATGAGGAAAATTAATTAAAACAACATAATTTCATGAAATATTATATTTATAAGCTAAATATAAAATATGTTAGAGAAAAATAATGATTATATATAGACAAAATACATATGTATGTATATAATTGGGTGGGTTCGGGTTGGATAGTGAGAAACCCATGCCCACCCATTACCCACAATATTCGGGTTTGGGTTTTAACCGTACCCTCTAAATGTCCTTCGGGTTTGGGTTTTACCCTACCCGATTAGGCCGGATTCAGGCGGATATCCACAGCTACGGATATTTTTGTCATCCCTAGTACAAAGTCTCACAGAATTGGGATGACAATCGAAAATGCCATAAATCCCAGTCAGAC